CCAGCGGTATCCAACACGTTGAGTCACGAATCCAAAAATGAAAGGACCAACTGGCACACCCAAGGTCACCATGAGAGTCCAGACACCCATGTAACGTGCTCTCTCATGTTTGAAGAATGTCTCGGTGACAACAACACTACCAATTGCCATAGCAGGCGAGATAAATAATGAAACCAGAGCTCGACATGCCGCCATGGAAGCGTAGTTTGTGCTCTTTGCACAGCCAATGTTACAAGCACAGCTTAGTATCAGGGACAGAAGGAAAATTGGACGTCTTCCAAAACGGTGGGAGAGCGGTTTCCAGAATAATGGGGCACCCCCTAGAATCGCGATCTGTAGAGAAGTCAAGTAGCTGACTCGTTGGATAGAGACTCCTAGATCTTCTGCAATATCTTCATAGGCGCAGATAATGGCTGCCGCAGTAAAGGTACCCATGCAAGCATGAAACGCAACGAGGCCCAAGTTGGTTGATTTCTGTCGCGCCATCAGCTTGGAATTCCGAAGACTGTGCAATTCTCACTGACCTTCCACAAGGGCCAGTTGTATGGGTCCGCTGGATCCATACTAGGAATCGGGTCAAGGTCCAGGGTGCCATGACGTTCAATGAGGTATGATTTGTGCGACTCTGAAAGAAGTGCAGCCGGTTCAGAGAAATTGGCACCGATTTCTTTCTCCGCGTAATCCGAGCCGTGTTTTGGATGGGCAGCCCCAGGGGTGGCATGATCGGGTGAATCCATAGTGCAGAATATCGTACAAGATGGCAGGCCACGTTAGAATCACTGAAAACAGCGGAGAATGTCAAATAAAAGGGATCCATTTGACCCCGCAACCTCGTGGGGGATTCGTAATCGGTATTCCGGGGTATGGGGCCGTTGTTGGGGAAGCTGGGGATAGGAGTGGACTGTAAAGTCGACAATGAGTTTTCAGTGGATCTACGTTATCCATTTTCGGCATTCCGATGTCCGGTGGTGGACTTTGTCGGTAGTTATAGAGGTGGTGTATTTGCCAGAAAATACAGGAATCTAGTGGTATTCGGGGGCCTCCGTATTACGGGGGTTGAGACATTTTACTATAGCGTATCGGCTCTGATACCAGGGGTTAACAAAATACAACAGGCCGAGGTCTGTCGAGGATACAGTAAGTGCCGAACAGCTAATACGTCCTCCTGACATACTTTGCCTGGCCAAGCCGGCTAAGCAGATCGCAGAAGCTTAGACCTTGGTAAAGTGCCTAATCCACCAGGCGCTAACCAGATTGCAGGCTTTGAAGCTTTCCAGTGATTATGTACAATACTCTCTTGGACCAGTCAACATCGACAGTAACACCCACTGCGAGCTCAACGATATGGAACTCGGCTTCACTCCGCAGTTCCTAAGAGATTCGGTGCTCCCCGGAATATCCGGGTCATCTCTTACGCACCTTGAATTAAAATTCGGGCGGTACACCCTATTCTGGGATTCGATTGTCAGTGTCTGACATGGCCTTCAGAGAAAGAGTTATGCTCGCATGGGAGCCAGAGGTTCAGGGGTAAACGCACGGGCGCCGAGCAAGGCCCATAGTAATGAGAAGAGCTCGGGAGTACCACATTCACCTTTTCTCTCCGCTGGGCGCTGAATGAGGGCGATTACCCAAACAATTTCTTCCTTTGGACTTTTGGGATGTTCTGCTTTGCGATCATCGGATTTGGAAATTTGTTGCCGTTGGTCGTTACAAATATTTGTGCTCCGTTGATACACTGGCAAAATGCACTGTTTTGTAGATGTATTTCCTCTGCCTGGGGCAGTACTGCATGTATCAGGTAGCTGCCGCTTTTATGAGCTTAGAGTAAGGCTCATTGAGTACAACTGAGCACGTAAATACTGTTACTTGCAACATGCCCTGCCCGTTGAGCACCTAATTATCTCCTAGACACTGTCATTCTGTAAGATACGTAATCATTTGCTCACTACATGCATATGTACCGGATTGCCCGGCACTCGAGACCTTTCCTTTTTGCTCACCTCTTGCCGCTTTTTCATCACTGAGTAAAACCGAGCACGCCCCTGAGTATCCTAACTTGATCACGGGCCATTATATAGTCAAAGTGATCTGCTCACTAAGCATGACCTGATCATTCCCTGAGCACCCTGGTCCACTCACTGATCATCATATAAGCACTCTGATTTGATCGCTGAGTGCTCACTAAGTGTAGGGATGAGCGGCCTAAGTAAGCTACATCAATAACATGCGACACGCTAACCTATCACGTGTAGCCCTTCCTAATTAGATCGCCTATCAAAAAACGACTGGCGTAGTCAACGTGACTGTTCGTTCTAGCGGTCTCGATCCTATCCAAGTAGAAAGTCCTATAGTGGGGCTATTCAATTGACCTACCAGTTTCCCATTTTAGCCTATGCTCCTAGGAATACCCCTCGGAATACTTCGCTTACCAGCCCGGCGATCCCGGCGATCCTCTAATCGGGCTTTACACTGCTACTAGAGCGAGAGCGATTGGATGGATTTCCTTGAAGGTCTAGGACCCTTCCCTATATCAAGGTGAGTGGAGGAATCAGTGTTCAGCAGGTGACGATGATGATCACTTCTCTTGCCAATAAGCGCACAAGCCGAAGGCTTCCATAAGCGTATAACGTCATGTCTTTCGCGCTATTGCTAAGTAACCTGTAAGCCGAAGACAAACCATCAGCGGTAATACCCCGATGGGCTCTTGGGAGCCCGCGGCGCATTCCTAGGAGCCTACTAAGCTGTATTATTAGATTCCTAAGGGCCCATAGCTATTTCGTTTGAATCCTAGGAACTCTAAACATCGCCCCCTTCCCCCCTAGCATTTCTGCCTAAAACAATGGTCTTCATCATTCCTTTGCCTCCAAACTACTTAATTAACCAAACGAAAGACTGCTTTTGAATATACCACAGTGAGCTCAGCCTTCATCCACTCCTTGTGCTGCATCAACTGACCTTACACCATATTGGCATTTCTTTTGCTCCCCATGGCCGAACAAATTGGTCCAAGCCGCAAAAGCTGCGCAGCAGAACGTCTGCGCCCTTCTGGAAACCCTCAAAGCTACTAAAAGGACAGTCGAGGCTTTAACAGGACTATGCAATCGACTGTCTTCCGTTGAAACTACTTTAGACCATCATTAGCATTGGGTCAATCAGAACCTAATAGTATCGGTTAGAAATCCGGAGCAACGGAGATATATACGTTTGATTCTAGGACCCTCAGAAAATGTATTAAGCACCTGGCCAATGATAATACACGAAACGGACTGAGATCGTCTTGATTCCTTCGGGGGTATAGAAGTGTGAATACTAATAGACCGACTATACACTTTTGATAATGCCATATATACGACGATGGAAAACTCTACGTCGTATGTACCTTCATGACAAACCAAGCACCCGCATACACCGGAGGGATTCGCCTCCTACTGTATTGCGATATTTGTATGTCCTAGATTTCATTTTCATTTTTCTGGTTGGTAATTGACTGATATCCGTGTTAGCTCATTTCAATCTACATGGTCAATAGTATCTGGCTCAACCGCCGCAACGCTAAGATCGCGGTCGAGCATCCCGAAAGCACGGCGGAAGGCGATATGCTCGATGAGTGGCAGGATCAAACAGACTTGACCGACACGAAATTCAAGTTCCTGGTCTAGATCCTATATCACCTACCAATGTAGTAGAACTTTGTCAATTTGGTAATTGCTCAGAATAGTTGTTACTGATTTTGAGACGATCTTTTGTGATTTTGTTGCCTCTTATGGTATTAACAATGCGCGCTACTTGAAAAAGTGGCTACCTTAACATGATACTGTTTTTGGAGCTATCCTTGCTGTGCAAAAGACGTTTACTTCGCGAGACAGCTGGTGAAGCCGTGTGAGATAATAGTCCCACGATCCTTGCGGCTTCTTTACTAAACGGTGTCACCGCTCGAATAGAGAAGCATGCATACCAGTTTCAAACATCCCTAGAGTTACTAACGTTGGAATTACTTTGATACAATATCAGCTAGGTGATTAAACGCGTACATTATTAATTAATCGACTTAAGGAATGAATGACATGATCCCATCAAACTACTGGGTACATAGAATACAGTCATACAAAAATTCTCTCCCTTGATAAATGTTCAAGATGCCTGCCATACCTTAGGAGTATTAATCCTCCCACTAGGCGTATATATGGTACTTTAGTAATCGCTTGTTACGTTTAAAATTATAGATACTTCAAACACAGTGTACAATGCCATGAAACTTCACTTTGGCAACAAACACACCAGGACTTATTTCGAAATGTGCACCAAACTAGATCCCGGAACTCCCCAAACAATTTAGACACTTTAACAAGTCCAAGCAATATACTGCCGCCAGTTTCATAATGTCCCTCCATATCCTTAGTTACAGAGTATGACCCCCCTCAGCCATGAACGGTAGGCCTCCCTCCCCACATGGCGCAATCACGACACCACAAGTCTAGTAAACTGACCTGGCACAAGCGGTCAACCAATATTCTTTAAAAAGAAAGAACCTAATTCCTTGTCGGGCCACCTGAGGGATTAGCACAATAATGACTTGGAACTCTGACTTGCTCATCCTGGGTAGTAAGATGGAGGGGGCGCCCGCTAAGATGAACTCCTCATATTCTCCTCAAAATAAACACCACTGACTCTAATATATATAGAATAGGAAGAGCTTCCTATACGCATTCTTGAGACCGATTAAGTTCTATTTGCCTCGGACCCCTGTCCACGTACATAGAATAGGGGGTCAGCAGGCTGTCTTTGCATTACTACGCAATGCTCGCCATTGGCATTTAGAAGGGGGCTACATATATTGATTGATTTACCTATCTTACTGCAGGATCAGCTACAGGATAGTGCTGTTACATTTTGAGAGGTCTAAACAAAACGAATTTGCTCTTTTCGTTGTCTCATTTTATTCGCATTTTCTTCCTTAATGCCGTCACCATCGATGTAGTCCTATCACTGTTGCCTATATATCATTTGACCTTTTCTGTCCGTGCCGTACGACAACTCTCCTCGTACCGCTTAACATACCAGTAACATAGCCCGTAAGAACTATCCACTATTAAGAAAACGGCCACACTCCACAGCACGAGGGGACTATTAAGCCATGCAAATGATTCCGGCCAATACATCCAACGTAGAATTGCGAACCCCATCACGCAATAAGAGCCAAAGAATCGAGAAAACCTAAAGGTTCTCAGTATAAGCTTTTCAATCGATTCTCGATGGGACGCCGTGAGGCGATAACATTGCATGGGGGACAGATCAAGAAATCGAGACGCCATACCATAGAGTGTAGGAAGCACCACGGGTACTTCCACGACAGAGAAGCTGACAGAGACCGCCAACACTCAGCATAAGCTGAGCCACAACCGCGCCCCAGGAGTACGACAGCGCAGGGCCGATTTCAGCGGCGAGAGCGAGGTGCCCAGTGAGGAAGCCGATGATTCCGATGCAAAAAATCCAATGGAGATTACGCTCCACAAGTGGCGCATGGGTCCATTCTCGTGGCGAGAAGAGAACTGCGGCATACATAATGCCAAAGTTGATGACCAACCCGAAAACGATCACTCCCCGTTCAAGCCGATTTTTGGAGGGATAAATCAGGCCATAGACAATCTCCCATGCAAAGTTGCAACAAAGGGGCATGATGGACATTGCGTAGGTCCCTTCCTTGAAAGACGTATAGACCGTCCCGACATAATTAGTCACCCACCCAAGTGCAACCCCGAGGGTTAATAAATCGGCAAGAGGCTTCACAGTTGATAGTCTATCGGGGCTTGGGACGCATCAAACCCGTCCATTATGGCGATTCTGTAGATCAAAAAGAATGAATCAAACAGAATGAATCAAACAATTCTGAGCGTGACAATTCTGAGTGCGGAACCAAGGCCCCTTAAATGCACACCTATTTATGGGTGCAGCATAGGAAGAGGTACCGCGCGCAGTTACTTGATGAGGTCGCTCTCTGCGCCCTGCAACTTACAAAACTGGGTGATTATGCACGAGTCCTAATTTAATATTACAATGAGATGAGCAGGATGAGTAACATAGGAAACATCAGCCCTCAAAATACCACCTACACTAAGCCCAAGAGTGTGCATGACAGGATCCTTGGCCTCTGGTATTGTTTTCCGTCGCAATAACTATTGTCACCTAGTTGGAATAAAAACTCATCACCCTCCTCCGAAGCATACTAGATTCTTCTACACTGCAGTACGGCAAAAGGTGAGAGTGAGATGGTATTCCAATAGACTTTCCATAGTCTGACGTACATTTAGGTACTTAGAGACCGAAATAAAACCATCAAGTAAAAAGCGATTCCAATGTCCGCGATGAATTATCACAATCCGATTATACTATCACGTTTTAGGACGTAGGTATTAATGTACCCCTACAGAATGCGACAATAAACCTCGTTTCGGTTTGATGCGACTCTCGCATGCACACGAGATAGGGGAAAGTTACCACAGGGACATATGCATCCTTTTCGGAGCCCCGGAAACAAGGATTCGTCGTTTCCACTCGCTCTGTTTGAAGTTGACCTGCAGAAATCTCGCAGACTGGCCGTTAACCAAGATATGTTGCCCTCTCTGGCATGCGTAAACAAGATAATACCAGAGTAAGCGCATAAAATGCGACGTCGGTTGTGAATCTAGAACTTCGCTTGTTGTGTCTCTGCGCGTGAGGACTAGCACCTGATGATTCAGTGGCGCAACAATATTATCAGAGGGAAAGGAATTCTTCGAAGTATATTTTTCAATGGTGATTATTCTTTCGGAAGCGCTGCTCTCTTCATTACCATTCACACCCCTCTTACATCATGAGCCTCTTTGAAACTATGTTGGGATTTTTTGTTCGGGGGACCAGCCCAATCCTGGGTATGGTTGCTGTGAGCGGCTTCCTTTATCTAATTATCGACCGTATTCACATCCCTCGATGGTGGGATAAAAGGGCGCACTTGCTCGGACGAAGGAATCCCGAGAGAATTACTAAACTGGAATGCCCTTATGAATATCTTCGAGAAATATACGGCAAGTATCATTGGACATCATTTGTCCACAAGCGTGCCTTGGCTTACATCTTCCCATCACAGATAGAAAGGAATTATGCGACGGGTAGTTTGTCTCATCAGTGTCGATTTCTGGTTGAGTAGCGGCACTATTGAATCGCGATCTAATATGAAAGTGGGGTAACCTATGAGCTCCCACGATTTCGGCCCACCCCGAATCAGATCCACTGATCTCCAAAAATTGTCTAAACAACTTAAGCATGGAAGCGTCTGATCCACTACGGTGTATTTGCTGTATATACGTACGCCATGTTATATACTATAGATCGTAGAATATTAGATGAAGTATAGAGATATCCTATAGGTATGACTAAGGAAACCTTAAGACTGACGAATTTATCAACCACTTCTGTAGTAGTGAGCCGCGACAAGTGTGAGCCAAGTATAGCTTCCGTTCCTAGTGCAAACCCTTTAGGAAGATAAAGCACTAGTCTGTTTACGTCTTAACGAGATCCTAGGCCCTCGCGGCCTAATTTCCCCCCGAGATCGCTAACTTTACCTCATTCGCAAGTAGGCACGGATGATCCATACATAGGCGAGAGCATAATACTAGGGGAGATTGCATTGGCTAGGCAAAAACTTGCCAGTTGGAACGACCACGGGGTCAGTAATCTAGAGATGTAAATATCCAGTATGTTTATGAAGGCTTTTTATTGATATATTAAGTACTACATTTTGCCCACACGTTGCGAGGTGTAACCGGTGATGAAAAAGACAACGCAGCTGTCGAGGAGCCCACCGCTCAAGTGGCGGCACGCGGAAGCCACGGAGCGAAAATGAAGAAGGTGGTCAACTACCGACCACCGGAATGTGACTATATCCTTGGTATCACCGGGATAACCGTTATTATGGGCTGCCCTCTCAAACTCAGCCGGTCAGTGGGCTTTATCACCGGTTTGTCAACCTCACAATCTTGCGGCCCATATCATGTAGTAGTGGACTAGCTCATTTCGCCTTGGTCTTGCTCCTATCGAGTCACCGGAGACCTTTAAAGCTCGCGTTGTCCACCCGAACCGGTCATTCCTAAACAAAAAGCCATCTCCTCCTATAAGGCCATCTATTCGGTAACCGCTCTTAGACGCTTGACTCTCAACATGCCTTCCCGTAGATCGGCAACCTAAATACCCGCTAGCGCAGCCATCTTTCTTGGTTGCATCCGACGTAAGGCCAAGTCTATTCACCATGATATACTCCTTGCTAATTTAGCTTTCTAGACATACCGAGACGTTATGTTGTTGGACCAAAACGGCAAAAAAGAAAGACTTCAAAATGGAAGAAGTTGAAAATTTCTTTGAACTGTCACGATCTGCATAATAACGTGCTGGGGTCGGGTAATTTGCTTTGCTTTGCTTGCTAGAATACCCTATCCTAGCAACCATAGCGGACCTGACAGCGTAAGAGTCGCTCATTCCTTGACAGTGTGCTCGAACACTTCAACCTGAACTTCATATGCCTCAACTTTGGTGCTGGCAAACTTCCTGGCCGACACTTTCTCTTCAAAAAGCATATCAAGTTCAGCAAAAGTGCGACCAGTTGTCTCTGGGACTCGGAAAAAAGTGTATACAACACAAAGGAAGCAAATTCCGCCCCAGAAGAACCCTGCATAATTACTCCAATCCCAGGCGGTAGGGTTCAACATATAGGGAGTCAACACACCACAGATGATAGCAACGACATTGTATAGAATGCGACCGAGCACCACAGTCTTGATTTGCAGTCGACGAGTAGAGATCTCTGCCACGAGCGAATAGGCCACAGTTCCGACGGAAAGCTGGTAGAACAATGCCCAGCAGAGCATCATTGAACCTGTTGCGAGTGATGCTTGATCCTTCTGTGCACTAGGAACCAGGCCAAGGAAACCAATCAAAACTAATATAGTGCATAGTCCGCAGAGGCCATAGAGATATAGCGTTCTTCGGCCAATTCCGAAAGACATGAGGAGCCATGCCCCAAGGACACCAACCATGTTAATCCCATATTGTCCCATAGCAAATGAGTAGGAATTGGATGCTGACAATCCTGCCTGTTCCAGAAAGTATGTGGAGTAATTGGAAAAGGAATTACCGCTGAGATTCTGAATTGCCCACACAAGACAGACAATCTCTGTCCGCCGCAAATTGGTCCCTTTGAAACAATCAAAGTATGAGGCTCCCTCTGAAAGCTTCGCTTCAAGGTCCGTAGTATGCCGTATCATGGCAATGGTTTCGTCCGCATTGAAATCCACGTTTCGGTCAGGATTCGTGAGACGTAGGAGTGCCTTCTTCGCGTCTTCGTCCCTATTCTTTCTGACCAACCACCAAGGTGACTCCGGGGCGAAAAAGATCGCAACGAAGAGAGGAACTGGCCACATCCACTGCAATCCATATGGAATCCTGTATGACCATTGATCATCCCGATTTAGCATTGCTTTGATGACTCCAATACCTATAAATTGCCCTAGACCCCAGCAGAAATTGACATATGACGTAAGATATCCTCTTAGAACGACAGGGCAAACTTCAGAAGCATAGGCCACTGTGAGAGTTTGAAAAATGCCCCATGGAACTCCGGCGAGGATTTCCGCTGCGAGCAAGGTTTGAATGTTTGGTGCCGTGAAAAAGATTGCCGTGAATGCGGTGATCAGGGCTAGGGAAGTCAAAATTGTATAGCGGTACCCGAATCGCTCCGAAGCCCATCCATTGATAAAGAGGCCAATGATTTCTCCACAATAGGCGCCGTTGCTGAGGCCAGCTTGCCACTATATGCAATAACACTGTTAGTAATATACCATGCATGTCTGAAAGAAACAACGTTGAAAAGAATTCAAAATAAAAGAATAGGGGAAGAAAGGGGGAGTAACCACTGGCTCGACGTACTGCAGCTGGTACTTGATAGGAGCCATCTGACGTCAATTCGCCGTACTTGCGTGTGAACTGCGGAAATGCATAGAAATTGTTGACCAGACTGATATCATAACCTTCCATCGCGATACATGTGGAAATGAGAACACTCCACGCGATCGCCTTCGGATAAGTTCTGATACCTTGTAGCAAGGTCATCTTATGCTCCGCTTCAGCACCTGATTTCGCATTATTGGTTGCCTTGGCCATTGGCACTGAATCCTGGCGTTCGATATCCGCCAGGGCATTCCTTGCCGACGCAATGTCATCCTTGGCCATGACTGTCCTTTTCCGGGCTGAAATTCCAGGTCTTAGATATGAACAAGAGGTGAAAAAAATGAATCACAGGAGCCTCTGGAGAAAGGATTATTGGGACACGGAGACATTATTTTGTTGAGTCGAGAGCGCCTATTTATGCGAAGGGAACGGGAACCTTCGTGTGCCTGAGACTGTCGGCTATTCACAAGTGGCTTTCTGAAGAGGTAATTTGTTAAATGTGAAAGGCTTGGTTGGCCAGTCGCGCGAAGCTGATTTCGAAGAGAAACGCTGTCAACAGAAGTTTAATTTTGGCGCATGGCTGCTTTCTATTGCCTTCAAAGGCCGTCCCATATACCCTCGTATCAAGGATAACTCCAATTGGTTCATTTAACAATTTGGAAGGAAACATGATTCCGGGAACAAGATGCCAACCAATAGATAGACGAGTT